TTCTACACTTTTTGTCGCATACGCGTTTCAACGAAAAGGCTGAGAACGGCTTCAAACAGTGTGCGCACTCCTACTGGCTGACACGCCCCGACAGTCCGTAATGATGAGGAGAAGGACAGTAATGTGTACACATATATACCATGCAGCATCACGGCCGCTTCATACCAATCCCTTCGCTTCATAATTTGCTTAGCAAATGAATCGATTAGAGCGTCAGGAACGGTCGTCCATTTGTGGGCGGGCGGGCGTGGTGGGCGTTCGGGTCGGTATGTTGTAGCTTGATAGGGCCCTTATAAGGGTACCTTCCTTGGAAAAGGCGCTATGCAGCGCCTGCTCAGGGTCGCGGTCCGTCCTGCCAGGCGTATTAATCCTACTCGTCTTGGGGATTTATCGTGCCAGCTGTCTTTAACTGAAGAAGGCGCTCTCATAAATAGCTGTTCTGACGCCTCTCTAGTTGTTCCGCCCACCGAAACTCAGAGGCTATTTCCTAACACGAAATCTGTTTTTACACCCTGTTTTTCGTTTTTTTTTCATCTTTTGATGGCACAAGCACTGAGTGACGTGAAACGATTAGTGAGCCAGGGGTGGCCAGATCGACTTCGCTTTGCTGGCGTAAAACCAGCATGTCCAGAGAGGCAGGCTCCAACTTAGGGTGCTATCCAGTTTTTTTTTGGCTTTTTTCCTTCCCTGGAGGGTCACTCAAAGACTAGAGATTTCAACTGAACGCCATTCTCCACAACACGCAATCGCAGGGTTATCCTTTAACAACCGAATCAACAGGGCGCGTCAATGTGACGTGGATTTTGGAGCGGCACCACCTCGCTTTCTAACGGAATGAGACGAGCTGGAAAATATTTACGTCACACTAACACACCCCCTCGATTCGGTTGTTGAGGACTACAAGCGCAAGGGATAAGCAGTGGATGTGTTTACGCAATGTAGGGAGCTTAGCTTCGCTCATGGAGTGCATCATTCAATTTTTCTTCGCACAGTGTGACAAGGTGCATAACCTCCGTCACAATTTACTTGAGATGTTCACTAGCGACTCTCACGATCACAACAAGCTGATGCCATCCGTTATCGCCCCAGGAATACCCACAGAATTAGTGTCAGCTTGAAACAGCCGCGCGATGTCCAAGTCAACTTGGACGTGAAGGTCCCAAGTACGTCTATTCAATAGACTCAGAAGATACATGATTCGAGACGAGGGTCCGCTGTACATGGTATCCGTTTACCCATTACCCCAGACTGAGGAAGCGCAATCGGGCTCTCATTCACAGTAACCCGGCGCCCACATCACGCACTTTCAAGTGGCACACTTAGTGCTGTATGCGGCTGTGGACTACCGCGAGGGACCATACCTTTGGCGAACTATGTTTCAAATAACAAAAAGGTAAGTGTAACGTTACCTTCGTGAGTGATGTTCGAATCTCACGTAGAGTATTCGTTATGGTGGGACTAATGCCCGACGTTTGACTCAAGAGAGATTCCAGCGCTTCTAAACGGAAAACATCAAGCTAGTAATCCCTGAGATGGCTAATATTCTTATGTTCGCTGTAGAATGCTCACCTAATTGATCACAATTCGACCGTAGCTCCTTCGCTGATTCGCCCGCTGTCTTGAAGGTATCGGGATGTGGAACAACAGAATTGGTTTGTTGGCTGAGAGGTAACAACTGGTCGATTCCAGAAGGTTGCTCTTTGATTGCCGCCAACGACTTAATCACAATTTTTAGAAGCATTTTCATAATTTGCTGATACACAAAAACTCTTTTGATAGCACCACCCTATCCTTGAAAAAACGTTCATACTTCGTGTCAGCGTTTTCGGCGTACGCTAGCGATGCTCAAAACACTGGATCGATATCTATGCTTTTCTAGTCCTGAACACGCAGTAAGCTTGGAGCACAAATCGACACCTATACTTCACTAGCCTTTGAAAACGCTCAAAACCCTGTCGCATGCTATGCAAAATACTGCCGTACGCTAAAACGCTGATGCAAAGCATGAACGCACTCTTACGTATCATCATTTCGGACGAACAGTCAAAAAACAACGCTTGGTGTTTGGGATTTTTTTTCAGAAAGTGCAATAATTACATCGGACTATTTGAAAAACAACAGTTGATGTATTTGCCAGTTTCGCGCGGATGGTTCATTCCTATACTCACGAAAAACATTACTTCCGGAATTAGTGCAGAACATCAGAGTCTCGCTCAACCACGCACTCAGCTGATCTCCCCATGCTACTCGACTCGACAAAGCACTTTAGCGTCAAGACAATCAGGTCATGGTGATCTAGGTCATATATAGTTTGTTTCATAGTTTCAAAGAATCTGACAATCCATTGAACAGGTGCAATTCTGCGACTGGAGGCATTTCACACTTTCGCTACTTCCCATCGACGTGTGAGAGGGGGGACGGGCAAGAGAACCGTAATTTGCCGCGCCGTCGCGCGCGACGCACCGTCTGGCGATGAGCGCGGGAAGTTCTCAATTTGAGCGCCACGCGGCGATGGGCGCGGGAAATTCAAAGTGTGCGTCAGGTTCTCGATTGGAGCAGTTTTCTAATTGTCACGCAAGCAGTCGGCACGTATCTGATTTTTTTCCATGGATTTTCCCACTATCAAGATTGATGCAGATGTTTTGCTCGCAAAACTTGGCTGTACGCCTCTGGAGTTGCGGAAGGCACAGGATGAATTCATTGACACATAAATCTCCGGTGCAAAACACTCCTGGACCTTCACAAAAAGTGCACTTAGTGACAACGCTGGCATACACTGGCAAATCGATCTAGCGGTTATTAACACGTTGACGACGAGCCATTTTTCCCATGACTTGCGCCTGGGACGGCACATTTTTCTACATTGAAACTTAGTAATTTCCAAATAAATGAATTACTACGACCAAAATGTATCGAGAAATGCAAGAGACGAGTATAGCAATCTCGAATCTTTGACACAATTTAGCTCTTATTGCTCCAATCTTCCAAAATCAGGCCATTTTTTTACCAAATTCTTCCTCTAGA